CACTGAGGGGAATGAGGGACACGGTGACGGACATGGTGAGGGGAGTGAGGGATATTAACATGTTCTTTCTGGTTCTCTCTAGGACACAGCCAGCAGGCACAATCAGGTGTCCAATTTGCTTGGATCACTACCCAGAGGTAAGGACCCACATGCTGCCATCCTTTCTGCTTCCTGGGAGGAGGAGAGGGACAGAGGGGAGTGAGGGACACGGTGAGGGACACGGTGAGGGGAGTGAGGGACACTGAGGGGAATGAGGGACACGGTGTGGGACACCGTGAGGGGAATGAGGGACACCGTGAGGGACACACCGAGAGGAGTGAGTGAGACACTGAAGGGAGTGAGGGACATGGTGAGGGGAATAAGGGACACGGTGTGGGACACCGTGAGGGGAGTGAGCGAGACACTGAGGGGTGTGAGGGACACCGAGGCGGATGAGGGACACATTGAGAGGAGTGAGGGACACACTGAGGGACACAGGGACGCCGTGAGGGGAGTGAGACACTGAGGGACACACTGAGGAGAGTGAGGGACACACTGAGGGGTGTTAGGGACACACTGAGTGACACAGTGAGGGGATTGAGGGACACACTGAGGGGAGTGAGCAAGACACTGAGGGGAGTGAGGGACAGCGAGGTGGATGAGGGACACACTGAGGGGTGTGAGGGACACACTGAGGGACACAGTGAGGGACGCCATGAGGGGAGTGAGTGAGACACTGAGGGACACTGAGGAGAGTGAGGGACACACTGAGGGACACAGTGAGGGGATTGAGGGACACACTGAGGGGTGTGAGGGCCAGCCAAGGGGGATGAGGGACACATTGAGGGATGACTGAGGGACACCAAGGGTAATGAGGGACACACCGAGGGGTGTGAGGGACACACCAAGCGGGGGATGAAGGAGGGTCCCAAGGGAGGATGAGGCACAGCCCCAGGAGGATGAGGGACACCCTCAGAGGGGCTGAGGAATGGGATGAAGGACACCAAGCAGGGCTGAGGGACTCCATGAGGGGAGGGATGAAAGGACACCAAGAGGGGGATGAAGGAGTCCATGAGGGGGATGAGGTACAGCCTGAGGGGAGTGTTACAGAATTAGCAGGGTAGTTGTTATACAGAATTAGCAAAGCAGTTAAAAAAAATTAAGTGTCTGAGTAAGTCTCAAAGCAGGGAATTGCTCTCAGACAAGAATGCACCAAGGACATAATTCTCACATCTGTAACTTCTCAGCAACCACTAGGAACCACCAGGGAACACCACAAACCCCATGGAAGCCCCCCAAGAAGCTCACTGACTCAAAATAGACTCATTAGCACAAGGAGCAAGAGAATCCCTAACCAATAGGTGATAAAGTACCAATTAATAAGAGTTAGGCAACTTGTAACCAATGAGTACTAATTTCTTTGCTGAAATGTATAAATAGTTAAAAGCTTTGATAGTTGGCAGCAGGTAAGGTGGAGGATCCTCTGTGCATCCAGAGCTGCAATAAAGGGGATGCCTGTTCTTGAGACTGCAGGAGTGTTAAGGAGTTTTACTCCTGATTTCAGTAGACAGGGATGATGAGGGACACCCCACAGGGCTTAGAGGGGGAGACCCATGCCCTCTCCCCCCTGACAGTCACACCAGTGCCCAGAAAGGAGCCAAGGGCAATACCACCCAAATCCCTGACTGCTAACTCCCTGTTTTTCATTTTCAGGGTGCAGCAGCAGCAGCTGGAGAAGCCCATGGAACCCTGACCCACACACCACGTGGTCCCACCCAAGCAAGGTGATGTTCTTACCACATGGATGACATCAGCTCCTGGAAATAAAAAAATTAGGGATTGTACAGTCAAGTTTCTTTCATACAAGTCACACTCATATACAAGTGACATCATGGTCCATGACCAGGTGTTGGAGTCACCATCCCTGGAGGTTAAGGAGGGACTGGACATGGCACTTAGTGCCAAGGTCTGGTTGACATGGTGTTGTTAGATCACAGGTTGGACTTGACAATCTCAGAGGTCTTATCCAACCTGACTGATCCTGTGATTATTCAGTCTTCGTAATTTTGCCTCCAGCTGCTATCAGAAGGGACATAAAGTCAACAACCTGATCTGATGCACAAAAAGATAAGTCAATGACAACAGGAACCTTAAAAAACCTCCAAAAATCCTAATCTGCTTCTCTGTCTCTGCCTAAGAAGTACTTAGGAATAACCAGGAACACAGCCCAAGTGTTTACATTTTGGTGTAATTTATTGGCACAAAAATATTCAAATACAACATGGCATCTAAACATGGCTACTCTGTTGTATTTTGTGCATTGTTTTTAATATGTTTAACTCATAAATCATAACTTTATCTTCACCCTCAAGTTTAATTACCATTATTTTCTGTTTCAAGTTATGACCAGTTCTCCCCCCCTTCTGCCTCCTATGCCAAGCCCTAACTTCCCCTAGTTATATCCCAACACTTCTTTTTTTTAGCCCCAACACTGTGGGAAGCTCCCAAGTGGTATTTATTTGTACCCTGCAGTCAGTTTGCCATGCATCACTCTGCACAGAGGCACCAGACTTGGCTCAGCTCAAGGTCTTCCAATGTCAGATGTGCTCCGAGATCCTGGTTGGGAACACAACTCCTGCACTAGTTTGATGAGCAGATAGACAGTTTCCAATTTTGGGGCAAGAATCAAGTTTGAAAACAAGGTACAGGATGAAACAATGGTAAAATTCTGCTTGTCTGTCTTTCCAGTTATCCAGCTCACCCCCAAACCTCTGTGAAGCCTCCTGACAGCACATTGAGCTCACTGCAGCCACATCAACAGGAATGACCAGGCAGTAATTCATCTGCAAGTGCCTCAGTTACATTGCAAAGTAAGTCAAAACCCGTATATAGTTATTTCCAATGGATCACCAGTTCCCCAAAGACCAAGTGGAACCAAGGACATCTGTGGTACAATCAGTCTTCACTGTCCTGGAAACCCAAATCAAGTGTTGTGTTTCAAACAGTTTGTGTGTTTTGTTTCTCCAACAGCAGCTATACATTGGCTTAAACCAACTTTTAATATACAATAACTCTTTTCATTTACATCTCAAAATATTTGACAAAGGCTGTATATTTCAGTCCGACGTTCAGTTTGTGTCTGGAGAAGAGCAGGTTTGGAGTGCAAAAGCCTCCAGAATAAAAGGCTGTGGATACTTTGGAATCTTCTGTTACCAGAAAGGACACCTGAGGAAGATAAAGACATTGTTGTAATGCTGACTTGCATGTAGTTTCACAAAGGCAATGCTCAGAGGGACTGAGATTCTATACTAACTAGGCAGCATTTTAGCACAGAAGAGTTGCCAGGGGATCCCTATGCTTCCTTATCATTTTAAAACACTAGCAGAGATCTGTTTCCTTAAGCATAGTCCAAAGTTAGCCAACTTTGAGACAGTAAATCATCTTTGTCTACTTTAGAACATGTGGTTCTATACTATAACTGAAATCAGTGACCACCACACTCCTTATTTCAAACACTTAAGAGGTTCTACAATCCCTGTCACTATTTGTAACAACACCTTTCCTAGGGGATTGTCTCTGGGATCACTGTCACAGGCCTGCAAAATCTTGCAATATGTGGTAAGGCTCACTCAAGTGACACTCTCTTTAGCAGTTCCCTGCTCAGACTATTCCAGCAGAGCTTTTCCAGGTTATCTGAGGGACAAACTCACCATCCAATGTAGCACTGGCACAGGTTCTCGTGAGAAGTCGCTTGCTTGATGAGCAATTCTACTTGTGTGGGGACATCCAGGGTTTCGTCGTGAGAGAAGTCTCGGCCTTGGAAATTAAAGGGTGAAAAACCCCATAAATGGAAGTCACAAATCCTATAACATAATCTGCTTCTGGGTGGCAAGTTCAGGACTGACAGGGCTTTTAACAACCCTTCCCTCACAGAACAGAAAATGCAAACTTTTCCAAACATGGAGAGCCTCTAAAGGCATACAGAGCCCCAAACTCTGTTCTCCCTATTATTATGGTTTGCTGTTATAAATGTCTCTGTTATTATGGTTTCTTCCTTTTATCTTCTCGAAGTAATAGAGAAACCAACAGGAAATAACTTCCCAGTAGCTGGAATCCTAATCCCTTCAAGTGCATTATTTGGCAGGTGGGGGATTGTTTCTTACCAACTGTAAGAGCATCAAATTTCACAACTAAATGTTACAAACTGCAAACCCAGGACAGTGGAACTTCAACTTGCACTAACAAACTAAAACATGCAAAATATGAAGTCTGTGCAGCTACAAACACCTCTGTACTTTTCAAATCAGGCTCACTGGTATCTGAATGAGGCATCAGTACAGACCAGAACAGGAAAATGGCCTCATCCACTTAGAGTATGTGAAACCTGATTAACAGAAAGTACAAAAACTAGAAGTATCACAGTAGTATGATACAAGTATCAAGCAGTGCTGGTCCATCTCATCAGATTTCATGTCTATCTTGTATAAAACCTGCTCACCAGTGAGCTTATCTCGAACCCTGTTGATGATCTGAATTGCCTTCTTGTTTAGAGCTTCTGGTTTCACCAGACCATCTCCTACTGAGAGACAGAAACAGGAAAGAGAATTAGGACTTCACCTGAACAACAAAACCATTTGTAAAATCATTTAGATCTGCCCTTCCCAAATAGCACTTTGAGAGCAAACCTAGACACATTTTCTATCCCCTTTTTGTTGGAGTTGAGAACACAGGGAATTATATTCCTCATTTATGCTGATGAGGAACTGTATCTGCTCAATCTCATGCAACTGTAATTGGATCATGATGAAATGTTCTGATCCAAGAACATTTCCTGTATTAGTATAGGAACACCCCTGAAACTTACTGAAGGAATGGATGGATTCAGGCACTGTGGTCCCAGTTTTTTTATGGGCTGTCTCACCCAATTCCACACTGTCCAACATTTCTATTGAAAAAACATGAAAACAAAAGCATAAACGAAGCTGAAAAGCAGAGAGAATAATATTCTTCTAGAAACACTAACAAAACTGTCAACCTGCTCATTTGAAAATTATATTTGACTGACATCCACCACCTTGTGCACTCACCTACTGACTGACTGGCTGAGTAGGAGTCTGTCCTCGTTCGTGAGCGCTTATTGCCCTTCGTGTTTGCTGCAAGAAAATAAGGGGTTAAAAGGCATGAACTGCAGTTTCAGAGTTTCAGAGCAAATTTGCCCACAAACAACACAGATTTGGCTGCCTCTGTCCTTCTCCAGATATTGTACCACCCGAAAATAGCTTTCAATCTCCAATACAAAACCAACCTGAACAGTTTTGCATGTAGCTGAGTTCTGTGTCTGTGATTAAGGCCAAAAGGGTTTTAACCACTGCTGCAACCTCACGTTACAATACTTAAACATCAGATTGTCTTCAAACAGACATTGCCATTCAGGCCTCTGGTTGCTGTCACTGTTTTATCAGAACACTTACTGTCCATCAGCCTCCAGTTCAATAAGGGATCATAGACAAAGGCTTCCAGCACAGCCATGACACTGTCCTTGTGTTCACGCAGCACCTCCATCACCGTGTGACAGGTGATTCTGTAGTTGCCATCCAGGCCTGTCACCTTTGGAAGAGAAAGAAGGGAATCCCCAGTGCAACTCCAACCCTAACATTCAGGAGCAGGAAGTGGCTTTGAGCTGGAATTCACTATGCTTTGCTCAGTAAAAAAACAAGACAGATGTTCATTACAAACTAAGCTCTTCTGCCATTCAGATCATCTTTGTGAAGTACCGTGTGACTGTGTCTGGTGGACACAAACAGCTGTTTGAAATGAGGAAACTAAGGAAGGTCTAAGAAATGGGAAGAATTTCAGGTTATTTTTGTTTTTCCAACTAAAGTGTTGCTTACCACTGTAATATACAGCAAAGATCACAGGAGATATTTTAACTTGCAGAAAATACAGCTGAGATGTTAACACCTTTGGATCTTAAGAGGTGGAGATGTTTAGCCACAACAGAAAATACAGGAAAAAGTGAGAAATGTGTGCCAACTTCCCTGGGAACAATCTCCTCCAAACCAAAGGGGAGATGCTTACCTCCATAGCATTTGTCAGCATCCTTGTTAACCTAAAGGGAATCTTCTCAGGGAACTTTTCTCTTGTCATTGCAACCTAAACACATGATGAGGGAGAATTAGGAAATTAATGGCTAACTTACTCTTTAAAGTCTAATAAGAATTGGGATTTTTTTGCTACAATCTGGAAGATTGTATTCCAAATAGGAAATAAAGTCACAGCTTTATGTTCCACAGTTTTCACAAAGTTTTGGGAGAAGCTACACAATCAACTTGATATCAACTGGAAAGCTCCAGCATGTGCCCAGCTGCTGGTTTCAGGCAACAAAGACTATCAGCAGTTTAAATTGCTCCAAGAAATTTCATAGAAGTGATGTCAGCACTTCTTTGCTGTCCCAGTGGTCAGCTAAGCCCCAAGACACACCTCTGGAGATAAAGTATCTGTCCTTTCCATCTTGCCTGCAGGTAGTCAAGCTCCAAAGAGAGCCAAGGGCTTTGCCCAGGATCAGGCCCCAAGGTCAGACCGGCCTGATGTACAGATTAGTTTCTGTTCCACTGGCAAATGTGAAATTATTGAAAATTTCACATCCAAACACAAAGATTTACCTCAAAACAGTCCCCGAAGTCGATATGCAGGATCTTTCCACTCAGCCTGTCCAGCATCAGGTTGGAGGGATGTCTGTGATGAAGGAGTGGGAGTAAAAACAGAGTGACAGACCATTACAAAACCCCAAAGTAAATCACAGCAGCTCCAGTCTGAACTGGTATTTATCTTCATGAACAACAAGGGCTAGTGACAGCTTCCTTGTCCGAGGTCTGCAATCTCAGGATGAACTGAACAGCTTCCTGACAGTGCATGTCACATTAGTGTTGTAATTACCTATCAGGAGCTAGAGATCCTCTCACCTTGGAAGATAAACAACCTCTTGGAGCAGAACCATCAGCACATTTCTTGGGTATAAACATTTGTTTTGCAGTTAGGATAAATTTTTCTACTTGTTTTATGCTTTTTTTAGGTTTTTCAGTATAGAAAAATGTCATTAATTATGGTACAGGTGAAGTAATGCAAATTGGTTTATGATCTGAAGAGAAGAAAACCAATTCAGAGTAGGAAAACCACAGTGCTGAATTCATACTGTCTTGTTCCAATTCTGTTTTAATTCACTTTCTGAATGTTTGTAATCTCATTATAAAGACCTTTAAGTTCAGGAATAAGAGCTTTTGTTATGAAAACATTTGAGAGATTAGCTGGTTTTGCATTACACTTTAAATCTAAAATGCATTGGCTTGCAAAGGATTTTGGAAGTGATGTTTACAGAATGGATGGAGAAAGATTTCCCCATTCTGTGAGTGAAAGGAAAGGACAAAACTAGGACTTGTGGTCCTTGATGTAATTCTGCATGTACTCATCTCAAAAGGGAAGAAAGTCTTATTGTGCTCAAGATACAAAAGCCCCACAGGTCATGCCTGCAGAGCTGAAAATAGCAGCACAATTAGGACCTGAAAGATGGCATCCCCCCAGCTCAGCAAGAACCACAATGGAAGACCTTATCACGACAACAGATCCAAGCAAGGAATGGATAAGCCTTCACAGTCTGTGCATTTAAATAAAAGAAACCTTTACAGCTCCACTTACCTGTCCCCAAGGCCCAGAATGTACCCAACCATCGACATCACAGCTAGGGAACGAGTGTAGTTGGTTCTTCTGTCAAACCACACCTGCAAGTGGAGACAAAACAGAAAAAGCCAGATAGGCATGTGGAATGTTTCAGATTATACTTTAACTTACACAATAGCCACTTGCACTTTGCACAAAGCAGAACTGTGATATGCTTAGGATCAGTACACTCCATAATCCTGAGGGGGTTTGAACACCCTGTGCCCTGAAATACACACTTGAATTCCAGTTTTATTATTGTTGGTGCTTATTTATTATTGTTTTCTTCTGCCTTTATTTATTAACTTTAGTATCACCCCTCAGGACTAAGCCCCAAAGCACTGGATGTTACCCAGACACACAGAATAGTGAAGTCACTGGGAAATTTTGGGACAGAACTGGGGTTAAATGTGAGATGTTTCTTGCTGAGGGACTAGATGATCTGTAAGGTCCATTCCAACCCCTAAATTCTATGATTCTACAGAGAAGCTAATTCCACATTCTGCTGATTGCCAAACAAAAGCCATTACATGTGCTGAACTCACCTCTGAGCTTGGACTTTTCAGCCATAGCAGTTTGGCAAGGTCATCCCCAGCTGTGTTATTGACAGCATGTTCAAACACTTCTACCTTCTGCATCAGAGTCAGGTGGTCATAATCTGGAGCCATCTGTAATTGAGAAAAGTGACACTCCGCAACTCAAAAAAGCCACCTCTAGGAATCTCTGCTTGTACTATTTAATTACAATACTGCAAAGGCAAGGATGTTTGAAAGCCCATTATCCAAGTAAGTGTTCTGGGCTGGCACACACTTTCCTTTTTGGCAGGGAATTCCAAATTTTCTAGTCATGCTCAGTTTCTCCAGTCTGTCTAATTTTGGCCCTGTTGCTTGGACACCACGTTAGGAATGCCAGCAGCACGGCACCATGTGTGAGGCACATCCTCGTCATGCAAACTTCCAAACACATTTCAGTCACCAGATGGCAACAACATGTGGCCACTGCTAAAACTGGAAAGGTGAAACAAATAAACATACAGCAAACTTGACCTCTTGGAGGCATTTTATAACTCTGCACTGGTATTTTTGTATTTGGGATCGGTACCAGCAACAATCAGAAGAGGCAGAGGATGAAACTGTGCATCATTATCCTTCATGAAGACAGTGGAGTCCTAAAACAATGCACCAAGACCTGTGGCAGGTTTGCCCCTTACCCTCAGCATGATGCGATGTTCGATGTTGAGGAGGATCTTCTTCTTCTCCCTGTAGTCTCGGATGAGTGCGTGCAGCGTGTCACAGTGGGGCACCCAACCAATCAGGCCTGAATTCGTAGACAGTGGAATTACAGCATATCTCTGGATGCTGTGGGAAAAATAATGGGAGAATCAGAGCTCAAATTGTTGTATGATGTGAATTATTGCATTTTGAGATGCTTAGAACAACTACTGCTAAACCTGGTTCTGATCCAGTAACTCTTCACGAGTTACTCTGCTTGTCTGCTTTTCAAACAGACCCCAGACATGCATTAGCACAGACTGTGCCAGGAAATCTGCAGCCATGCTCCAAGGTTTCCACTGAAAGGCTCCTTCCAGAAGGAACATGTATGTCACCCACCATGATTTGTTATTTGCATGTAATATTTGGTATAGATATATATGGTATATATATATTATATATATATATTTGGTTGATATATATATATGACTAATCACAACACATACCTGAGGTTTTTACGAAGGGAAGTTGGGTCATTTGCCAGAAGTGTGTTGACCAATCCAAAAAGCTGCATCACTCTTTCATCTTGGCGAAGGTCTTCATGACCTTTCAGAAGGAATACAAACTCATGCCCATTGCTTCCTGCAGAAGAATTAATGCACAGAAGTTTACTCTTGTTGAACAAACACACAAGAGTAAATACAGCTGCACCCAAGAACTGGCAAGCGTGGCAGTCAGACTGACCAGACCACTAAAAGATACTGATACTAAAAGATACAAAGGAAAGGTTGGAGAGGTTTTACCAAGGAAATATGCAGTTTGACCTACAAGCACCAACTGTTTAAACACTGGAATAGCTAAGTGACAAGTGCTGTGTCTCACCCATTAGTGTCAACTTCCTGGGCCTCTGCTTGGAGGTGATGACCTGCAGGGAGGGCGCGATGGACTGAATCCGTATGATGGGCTGGTTGGGATCGTACGTCCCTGGCACTGCCAACTCCAGGTCCCGGCACATCAGGAGTTTTGGTGACACATACTGTAGTTCCAAGGAAGTGAGCTGCCAAAACCAAAAGAAATGCAATTCCTTAGAATTCTACTGAAATCTCTCTGAAGAATTCATGCTGTGAGGGACGTGGAACAGTTCAGTTAGCGACCAATACTTCAGGTGCTTGCAGGAAGTGCTGCATCAACACCAAACCTGCAGTGAATCCTATGCAGGTACTTCCAAAATACTGAATCTGAATGCTCTGAATGACCAGAAAACACGAAACAAGGATTGGTATTGACAACTTGCACTGCAAGACCAACAAGAGAGTTGAATCTCTCCACTCACCTGAGGCAGCTGCTTCGAGATGCGCCGGAACACATGGTAATAGAGATCCCAAGCCTGAGTTAGGTCTTTGACATTTCCTGATTTCATGTACTTCCTGCACCACTCCTGAGCTTCCATTAGATCTCTGCCATAGGCCTAGAGAGGAAGAAAAATAGAAGAAAACCATTTCAACAGACTATAGTGGAACAATTGTAGAGCATTTAACATCTACAAAGAGCATCAGTCTCTCTTCAAATTGCATCACAAACACTTGAACTCATGTTTTTATACCATATCAGAATTACAGATCCAGAAATTCCTGGATCCAAGACCTGCATCAAGTTTATTAGACAACATTGCTCACAAATAGACTCCATGAGAGGAGGCAATAGAGTGAATAGAATCACACTTGTATATAGGCTCACAGACTCAAATTAATTCCTAGGGCTTGGGAGAGGTCATTTCTGCTACCTGTGCTAGTTCTTACTGTGAAGCAAAGCAGAATAATTCACTGTAGAGCAGGTGTATGTTTCCCAGCCCCTATCAGCCACCCAGCTGATACAGGACTGCAGGGCAATCTGTACTAGTCATTAGAAGTGACACAGATCTGAGGGTAAACCTCACTAATGAAATCTGCAACTAACACAGTGAGTCCCAAGGGATTCACCCTTTGTGTCAGATTGCAAAGGTTCCTGTCACTCATTTAGGGCTGTCCTGCAGAACGTTCTGCTCTTGGCCCTTTGCTGATACCTGATTGAAGGATGTCTCCTTTAAAGTCTGAGGCCCACGCTCCATCATTGCATGAAGTGGTTCCAGCACCTCAAACATTCCCTTCACGTTTCTTTCTCCAAAATACAGACGAGATGCTTCTTCCAGCCCTTCGTGCCACATCTCATGCCACAGGATGGCCACACGAATTAGCTCTTCACTCACCTGTTTTAGGGCAGGAAAACAGATTCAACGCCTAAAGAAAAACCCTGTGACCATATCCTGACTTCCAAAAGCAAAACTCCTTCCTTCCCTAACCCTGTGAAATAGTCGTTGCTGCAGCCAGAGGGAGCCACAAGAACTAACACAGGGATGTTGTAGTGTTTCTGCAAGAAGCTGAGCAGGCTTTTCTCACCTTACTTGTTGCCTTTGAAATTCTCTCTATATTTGTGCAGCTTGGCCTGAAAACATTGCTTTTCATTTATCCATAAAAACCTTCATCACATGAATTAAATTACTCTTTCCATGTTATGCTCACTCAGTAAGTTTTGTTTCCACTTTTCATTATGCAAAAACATCTCTTTATGGAACAATGATTTTTCATTTATTTCTTCTCTAAATTTATTCACAGACACAAAAACTCCTTGTGTGAATGTGATTCTTAAATCAAAGCATTTTCTTGAAATCACACTAATACTGTCACTCCTACCAAATACCCCAAATTAATTGTGCTTGAACAAAATTAACAATTAATAGAATTATAGAATCATAGAATTTAGGGGTTGGAATGGACCTTACAGATCATCCAGCCCCAACCCCTGCCCTGGGCAGGGACACCTCACTAGATCAGGTTGCTCAAGGCTCCTCCAGCCTGGCCTTGAACACCACCAGGGTCCAGGCTGAACAGCCCCAACTCCCTCAGCCTGTCCATCTAGGAGAGATGCTCCAGTGCTCTTAGCAACCTCGTGGCCTCCTCTGGACTTCCTCCAACAGTTCCATGTCCTTCTTGTGCTGAGGACACCAGAACTGCATGCAGAATTCCAGGTGAGGTCTCATGAGAACAGTCACTTTGTCTCGTTACACCTGTGGTACATCCACTCCTGAAGCATAACACACCACAGCACACTGAGCACTCACCATCATTGCCTGCTGCACCAGAGTGTTGCTGTGCTCACACATGTTTTTCAGGATCTTATTGGCAGCATTGTGCCGAGCAGTGGTTGTAGATTTAGAGGCCACAGTCAAAGGATAGATCAAAGCCTGCAAGGGACAGCAACCCATAATATGTTAGAACCACACAGAAGGGCTACATAAATGGAAAGATTAGCAAAGCTTTAACAAGCAGCAGTGTTAGGGCTAGACAGGGGAAAGCAAGATTGCTTGTGGAAAGAGGTGAGAGGAATTTGCTATTCAAAGTCTTCCAACCCAAAAGGTTTACGAGGCTTTAATTCACTAAGTAGAATGACTTTGAGAGCCTGAATCAAACTGGAAGAACAACAATAGGTTTAAGATTTTTGTGATATTCCACACTGGAAAGAAATTCAGGTAAGAAGCTCTTAGCAGTCACTCAATGAGATTTAAGGTGATTTGCAGTACCCACTACTCTATCAGACAGAAGGAACTTCCCCTGCTGCATGGCTCATCCACCTCTTCCCACTGCTATGTGAACAGTGCTGAGGTGAAAGCAGCAGCAGCAGCAACAGTCCCCTCCTCACTGTCACCACTTGCTGTGACTTCTGTGCAGGCACCTGGACTAGGTGAAATGGAACACAGGAAATACTTAACTGGCATCAGGGAATTCCTCCTCTGAGCCAGCACTTACCTGGGGGTGGTACCGACCAATGTCTGTGAGGAGCTGATGAATGAGACGTCCTACCAGAGGCCGAGGGGTGTCAATCCTGGCAATGAGCTGAGGGATAACCTAGGGTAAAGATAAGTCAAATAACCATCCCTGTCATTTCATGTGTTCAGTGCACAAGCTGTTCTGCCCCCTGCTAGAGGCCTCACAGTCTCTAAAGGCGACAGAGAGGACAGCCACTCATTTTTGAGATGGTCAGAGGACAACACAAAGTTCCAAACAGTGTCACAAATGTGATCTCACTGAGCTGTTAAACAAGTATTCTGAGCTAGACTGCTACAGGATCCTCTTATGGAAAGAGTAAGATGTGTCTTGAAGATCTGTCTTGTGTTCCTTACCTGCAGCCAAGTGTCTATTTGGATTGCCTTGACTCCTTCTACCAAAGCCTCATTCACATCAGGCCAGTGACCATAGTCAAACCACAGAGTAAGGACTCTGAAAAAAAGAAATACTTTTCTTAGGAATGAAACAAGAAAACCCCAAAACATTCCAGCCGAATGCCTTCAGACTAATTTACAAGTGACTCTCCTTCCCAGAACCCACGGATAACAGGGATAATCCACCTAACAAAAGTTAGCTTGGACTGGAGCATTCACTTAATTTAGCCATAACAAAAGAAAGCAGAAACATGTTCTATCTAACCTCAATCCATGTGCCCTTCTCAGCTGGATTTCATTTACTATGTGCTGCATTATGTACCTCAGAGTGTCTTGGAGGTTGTTTCCTCGAGACAGAGAGATGGACCGGAAGAAACCCTGGACAGCAGGGACTGTGTACATCAAGAGGGTCTTGGATAAATCCTTTGGGAACGAAAATTGCTGCGTTAGTTCTACATAAGCACATCAGTCCACATGAATCCTAAACTCAGCAAGAGGAAAGAAATATGTGGAAACAGGCCTAATGCACATTGTCATTGACTTCTGCTCATACTCCTCACTGGGCATGTTTCTCCTAGAATTCATGTTTTGCTTGACATACACAGACAGAGCCAGCAGCCACAAGCCAGGTATGCACAGCAGCACGTTCCCCACCATAACACTGTCCTGTGTCTAGGCAGTAAGAACCAATCTCTCCACACAAGCAGGGCAGAAGGTACCTCAGTGACTTTCTTCTGCACTGGGGATGGGATGGGGCTGTTCTCCGTGCTCTCTGCATCGCTCTCGCTGTTGCTGCCCTCGGTGTTGGCACTGGTGATGCTGGCTCCGCTGGCGTGACGCAGCTTCTTCTTCTCATCTCTGGCCTGGTTTTGGTGTTTGTAGTGAAGCACTGCTTCAAAGTTCATCACTGCCCAAGCATGCCAGGCCTGCCAACAGGAGAGACCAGAAGCCAGATGAATCCTTTCTGCAACCTGCACTCTGTAGTTGTTAGAGAGAATCCAACCTTTCTGCATCTGCAGACAACAGCAGTAATACCCTGCAGACAACACAATGCTTTGACTTCTCTAATTGCCTGTAATTTTAACTGTCTTGTTATCTTAAATAACATCATGGTGAGTTCTTGGCCAGGAGCTCCCTGATAAAGGTTAAGGCAAAGGAGCTTTGTAGCAAAAACTAGATGATATCCACATACATCATAAATTTTCAAAGGCTAAAATGAAGGTCAGTATGTTAGGACTAACAGAAATACAGGAGAATTCTGCCCCAGAGAAGATCTGGCACCACGTGTCAACTGAAATCTCACAACCCTGAATCAAAGGCTCTTTGGAGAATCAACAACAAGGCTACTTTCCTCATTCAAGTATACTGAGAGAGAACAAGTCAATTTTTTCCATTTATACTATCCTTTCTCCTTCACTGTTACCCTTCAGGGGAAAAAGTACCAAAAGCAAGTATAGAAACTGAATTGTGGCCCAGTTTTACCAACAAGATGAAATTCTAAACAACAATCTCATGGTTGCCTTGGGCTGCTTTCTCTGGATGGGTTTTTTTTTAAATCCTATTGGCAGTAACAAGGCAGAGAGTTATAGGAAATCTTCCTATGAACATCTTCCTTTCCTGAAATAAGGGATGTGATCAGATTCACTGCTCTCCTGCAGTGGTTCCTGGGAGCTCTCTCCCTTACTGACCTTGTACCAGTTGCGATCATGCTCTGTGGCAGCACTGTAGTACTGCAGCACTTTGGGGATGGTGCTCTCGTTGATGCCTTGCAGGTTCAGCTGCCACTCACCCAGCTTCAGGAAACACCTGGTTAAGCAAAGGGATTATTGATTCAGAACCTAGAATGAAAACAAAGCCTCTGGATTAAGAGGCAAACTTCTTATCTGGAGCCTGAAAGACATTCTCCTGCAGGCTGGGAGTGTATGTGTTAACCTCTAAGGTTCAAAACACCTCCATCCTGTTTGTGGGGTGGAACTAACTAGATTGAGGTTTCATTTAGGGGGAAAGGTGAGGGTCAAACTTTCTTCCTCATCGAGTTATAAAATAAATAGAAGAAGTAGCTAAGAGGAACATCGAACGACTTAATCAGTGCTGATAAAACACACACAGCATATGTGCTGGCAAGATGTGCTGATCAGCATATGAACAAACCTTCTGGAGGGAACACCATGACAGACAGTGCAAACACAGAGGAACTGTTCTTCCCCCCAGCCAGAACCCCATTAAGTCATTCCTGCCCACAGGAAAGGAAAAACAACATATTTTTACTGCAGCAGGGTGGGGTTGTGAGGGTTTGTGCAAAACTTAATACTCTGCTCCCTCAGCAGGCTTTAAATGCCACAGTCACACAGATGTTCTGTCTGTATTGTGGGTTTTCCAGAAAGAATTGTGCAAGACAAATATTGTGTGCAACACATCACTAATTTCTCTTCCATGATAGCCACTGAAAAAAATAAGACAGTACTGTTACCAACTTCCCATCTCATAAAAGCAGCTTGAGTGCATGGCTCCCTTTAAAAAAACATCAAGCCTTCAACAGAAAGCACTATGCAATTTGTTCTTTAAACTGAAAAAACCCAGATCTGGCACCTCCAGATCCAGAGAGGAAATGGAGATTATAAAATGTGTATTTAATGCAGCAATGTTTTAATAGGCCATCACATGCTGGGCACCACTGCCCAGAGCACTGCTGCTGTGTGTGGCAGTGTGTGCCTTAGCACAGATGTGCCAGGAGTGTGGGAAGTGTTTCTTTCCTAGCGACTGGATCTCCTGAAAACCAAAGAAACAGCCACGCTGAGAGCTCTGCCTTCTGCCAGTGAGCCACAGTGCTGGAAAAATACAGCCAGCCACCAGCAGCAAACACAACTCCTTTAGGCTGATGTGTCACAGCAACATCTGCTGAAAATCATGAGAGATAAAATGGGATACCAAATCAGCTACATGAGAAATCCCCTGTACCTTTAACCAAAGGATTAAATGATCAGTGTCATGATCAGTGTACCAGGTCAGGGGTTGCTCAGGGAGGTGGTGGAGTCACCATCCCTGGAGGTGTCTAAGAGGTGTTTGGATCTGGCTGTGGGTGATGTGGTTTAGTGGTTAGTGGCAGTGCTGGTGGATGGTTGGACTTGATGATCTTAAAGGTCTCTTCCAACCTTGATGATTCTATGGAATGTGCCATCTGCAGGGACTCTGCAAGCTCAGTACAGAGCTAAAGGGTGTCCCAGGACCCAGTGCTGACCGTGCCATGAGCTTGTGGAGCTCCTGCTTGTGCTGCTGGTCCTCGGTGGCGATGGCGTGTTGGGCTTGCTGCTGCATGGTCTGCACAAAGTGCTGCATGTGCTGGAACGCGTCGATCTGCAACGGCACGATGGACACGGGGTGAAACACAGCTTCACGAGGGAGGAAAACAACATGGAAGTGAATTTTCACTGAAAAAACCAGCTTTGTTTTCTTGCAAAGCTTTTCAGCCGTGTACATCCCTCTAAAATCAGTTTATACTTTCAATCTGCAGCAGCAAATAAATGAAGAGGTTAGAGGATCTTGATGTCTCTGAAACTGCTACACTGAAAACAAATCACTGCATCAATACACACCTCTTGTCATCCAGACAGTCAAAGGCATGAGTGACCATAACACAATCTAACACTGCTCTGATGTGCAAGAGCTCAACTCTGGCCGAGCGACAAGGTCACCTGTACAGGGAGAAAGCTGCAGCAGCAGAGCACGTCCTGTTACTGCCCATGCTGAGTGAGGTTCTAGTTCTCTAGTACAGCTGAGATGCACAGCAGAGACAACAATCAAACCAATGTTCACAGCTCACACACTGTATCCCACCAGGACAATATCTAACAGACAGGATCACAAATCCAGAGGAGCCTGTCTATAATATCATATGGCCTGGATTTAAAAAAGACCATTTGAGAAAATAATGCCTGAAAGAAAACTTGCAGCTTCCTGATTTTCCCTCCTAACCCCTTAGCTTTGGCTGGGCTTAAAGCACACACCATGGGACGTTAACTTTGAGTTGTTTCAACAAATTAAAGTCTAGATTTCCCCTAAGGTTATTTAAGAAGCACAAATGTGCATTGCTCCTTTGCCAGAAGATTACATAAGGCAGCAGTGCTAAAGCAACTTGCACCACCAAATTCTGAGGGAAAAAATCTTTTTGAAATTCCTTGGTAGGAGTTCTGGGGTGAGAAATTAAAGATTTAAGGAAGACGTATGCATGCTTCACTGGAAGGAATGAAGAGGAAATCTTTGCAAGGTCATTTCAGGTCAGAAACTGCAGAAGGTGCTATTAGAAGCCCAATTGACTTCTGTCCATCTACAGGAATGAGCTGCTTCAGAGTGAGACAAGAATCACCTGAGCCAAAATGCCTCATCTATCCCATTCAAACCTCAGAGTGCACAAGTGAGTTGTGAGGAAAAAAGGGTATTAGCCCAGAGAGAAATAAAAGAAAGTATCAGACTATTAATATTAACATGAGACATTTCCCAGGTGACAGAGACAGTTGGTTAGAAGGGGCTGAGGGGAAATAACAACCTTATAAATAGTTATACTAGACATCCACTGAAAACACAGAAATATAGTCAGTTGTGTCCCTCTCAGAGCCAGACACACCCAGCAATCTGCCCCTCAGTTTCCATCAATATTGAAAACTGATCACCATAAACTGACAGGCAGAGAAATTCAGACTGAAAGCAGCAAGTTCTCTGCACCAGCTGAATTCCTAAGTGTGAATGCAGCCTTGTTGTGGGACATGGCTGGAGGATGCAGCTGCTGGCAAAGGCCCTTGGTAGAAGAAATGGAACAGGGCTTACTTAGCCATCTTTGTATTTGCTGTTTAAGAAAAGTGCAAGTGCTGGGGGTTGGTTTCCATTTAGATGCCACTGGTTTTTCCTGCTGGATTTGGCAAGGGCCAACATGGCAGTAAGGAAAATATGTTAGGTCAACAAAGCAACCTTGAACTGCTCAGCTAGAAAAAATGGTCACTTCCTACCACACCAGCCTACCTCAGCAGCTCATTCATTAGGATACCAAACCAAGTGAACACTCAGCAGCTCATTCATTAGGATACCAAATCAAGTGAACACAGTTATATAACCACACACTAGGTGTAAATATGCATTATTATCTGGTTTTGGTATAATTTCCCCCCCCATCTTTATGGGCTCCACATATTCTGGCATCAGTTAATTTTAGATACATTCTCTTCTCCCACCCCCACAATCTTTGTGCCTTCTCTCACTCTGCTTCCCAACACTGCACGAGTGTCCTGCATCTTGTCCATCTATTTACCACAGTTCAGACACAGAGTCCCCTCACAGGGGCAGGCAGAGAAGACCTATATACTTCTGGGCTCATTTACTGAAGGAAGTAAGAGACCATCACACTGCTCCAAAGCACCAAGAGAACAGAGCCTCATCAGCAGCTCCTTCTGCTTCTTAAATTCAAACGAAGAATAGTTAGGTCATGGCAATGTTCCCATAGCAATGGCTCTGCTCCAGTGCTGGCAATCCCAAAGGCAAGAAAAATAAAAAAAGATGTAGCAGAATATGAGGATAAATGGAGGCTTTAATGTATATTAAAAAAAAGATAACTTATCCAGTCTGGAGCTTATTGGATTTGATTATGTAAATTCTCCCTGTGTTGCAATGTCAAAAACATTCACCCTGAGCTCTCTGGAGCCAAATTGTTCCCATGACAAAACCCTATGTACTTTTCAGCTGTCTTTCAGTTAGAAATCTTCAATAATGTCCTTAATAAAAGTCAGTTCTGCTCAGCAGCTAAGTACAAACTGTTCGGGATACTTTCCTAAAACTGGCAATAAAACACCCTGAGTTCCTCCTCTCAGCATGTAACCCTGACGAAAGGAACAGTGTGGAGACAGACCTGGCACTCACAAGGGGAGGAAAAGTCAAGTACCAAGAACAGAAGAGCTACTATTGACCATTCATCTTGGTTGCATCCCTTGGGTACCTGACATTGCTTTAGCAAAAATAATCTTTCCATGTACGAAAGAAAATCAGGGCCAGACTTGCTCTGCCAATACAGTGATTTAAAGAGGGAAAAAAGCTTCGGAATAACAATAAGGAAAGTGATTAGTTACTGTCTTTTAGGTGAGCAAAAATAGAACCTTCAGCTTTGCCTTTGCTCTGTGGGGATCATGCAGAGCTAAGACACATGGCACTGTCCAAGGCCTGAGCAGTGAACAGAGCTCTGTGTTCTCCTGTACCTTACGGGCACTCTTCCACATGTGCTTCATGTATGCATAAGTCACTTGGGGATGAACTGTTGGCAGAGGGTGATCCAGCTGTCGAGATGGGTCTACTCCCAAGAGCAGGACAAGGGTCTTATGGGCCAAAGCCTGGAGAAAGTTGCAAAGAGACACAGCAGGTTAAAACAAGCTCATTCTTAACTCCATCTCACATTGCTTCAGAATTGCCCATCGCTAAAAGATACATCCAACCCTCCAGATAAAACACAGCAAGCTTCCTACCACTCCCTGGAGTCATGAGAATACCACATGATAGACCATATGTCTTCATTTGGATCAGAGCACTAGATTCTCATTTGAGAAGCCAGTAGAGAGTGTGAAGTCTCTGTTTCAAGTACTTTTGGTGATAAATCTTGTGGTGAATGTTAAAACAGGACTGTAATGTTCAGTGATAACAAGATCACATCCCACATTTGCCTCTCTGCTTTAGGAGAGAGTCATTATTAACAATTACCAGTGCTGCATAAGAATTTCCAGTTATAGCCTGCAATAAAAACTTGGCTCCCAGGCTCTCAGGTATTAATACCAGCCCCACAAAAATAATCTTGGCTATAAGCATGAACTCTGTGCTGGTTACAATTTTAGCGTTTCAACAATTTCTGGCTAGTTTCTTCCTCAGAGGAGAGCCCTTCCCACTTGGGCAAGGAGGGCATTTGGAGACACTCAAGGCTGCAGCAACATGGCAAAGCCTGAAATCAGCCTGAAAACCCATGGTAGAGGACAGAGCCTGACAATGCTCACCAGCCTCCCACTCTTGCCACACAGACTGGCATATTTGAGCCAAGTTCTCATGTCCTCGTGGGGATTCACAACGAGAGATCTGACCATCAGTATCCTTTGCCAGTCTTCCACGATTCGCTGACAGCCCTGAGAGAAAGGCAGAGTTGTTAGTGTTTGGTCTCTAATGTACTCCCCAGAGCCTTAACTCAGAACCTGAAGGGACTTTGGCCCAGATGGAGAGACTTCCATAGCCATGATCCCAGCAGAGTGACATTAGGAACTAGCTGGCTATTTCTTTAACATGTGTGTGAAGAAGGCTCAGTCCTTGCCTCTCACCCTCTGCAGCCACAGCTCAGTGTTTGCAGCTAACAATAACCTCCAACGGAAAAAGGAGAGAAGCAAAAATGCATCCAAAAATAAGGAAAACTCTTTGTACAATTCCAAAAATGAGTCGAGAGTTTTATAACCCTTCTCAACCTAGTTTTAAAGCCTATTTTTGGTTTCAACAGTGACAAATCTCAATATGGAGATGGTAGAAACCCAAATGGTTGCACAGATATTTTTGTTATTGTCCTTTTCCCTCTCCTTGCATGTGTTGCTTCTGGAGGCTGGCACCACTGAGGGCACATTCTGCCAGAAACTGCAGCTCCAACTGCTCTGCTGCTTGTGCAAGCATTGTCTGGTTCTTGTCTGTCTGAAGGGAGAGGCACAACAACACTGTCAGTCGGAGCAGGATGAGTATTCCAAATGTTCAAGGATGCTGCAGAGGAGGAGAACTGTGGAAGGGACAGTAACACCACATACATCAGTGGTCAAGTACCTCAGGGTAACAGTGATGCTCTGAAGTTTGCATTCACCCAGAGACTCCTCAGTGGTGAGGTAAACAAAAGAATTCCCAATGGCAGCAAGCACCCTAGCACCAAAGCATCTCTTCTTTCCCTTTTCCTTTTTCCCCCAAAATTGAGGGCTGGGAAGTTAAGCAAAGCTTGTTCTCTAACATTCAAATCAACCTCATCCAATAGGCATTTAAACATTATTAAAAAGCAGCTATAAAATGTGCAAGAACTGTATGTACTCCTTTCAGGACTATAAAAAGCTCTATTCAGACATGACACTTCCTGTCACTCTCAGTTTCTCCACCCCAGTGGAATGGTCCTGAGCTTTTCCAGACAGGAATGTTAGATGGGAGGCTAAAAGCTTTGCCACAGTTTCCCAAACAGCTAAAAAATACGCAGTAGTCACAGCCTCTCATAAGGTGGCAGATTATAGCAGTGCCAATGAAGAACTCTGCACAGAGAAAAATGCTTCCTCCAGACACCATTTTACCCGAGTAATGCCTTTTTTCCCCTCCTTCCCTTGCAGTATTCCTCTATGTACTGCTCCATCTGAGAACGTTCCCTTTCCCTGTAGGGAACAGCCTCAAAATATTTGGCTGATTTCAGTCTTCAGAGGTGCTTTGGATTTTTGCTGTTTAGGGTAAGAAAGGCACAAACGTCTTCTTCTATACAGGAAAAGCAGCATTGCTAAAGGTCTCTTCTAAAAGGTCAAGGCTAATAATAGAATCATTTAGATTGGAAAAGACCTTTAAGATCATCGAGTCCAACCATAAACCTAATGCTGCCAATTCCAAGGCACGTCCCTAGGTGCTACCAGTGGATTGGAAATGTTCTTGTAAGAGGTCCAAAAGGAACAGCACAATCTTTTCTTTTACAAGTGTGTGAATTCTCTGTCCAGTTTTCCAGCACGGTGAGAGAACTCACTTCTCAAACTGCAGCCAGCCAGGTAAAAAGTTCAAACCAGCTTGATCCAAACCAGTATTTCCAGATGCAATCCAACACCAAGATAAGCAGCCTTGGGGATGTTACTAGTGTTTCTCCCTCCGCACACATCTATTTCAAGGCTTAAATCACCCTTTAAAGTGTCATATCAGCAGAGACCTCAGGAACATGAAGCAAAAACCAAAACCCCAAGCAACCAGGACGAACACAAAGGAAACAGCGAGCACACAGCCACGTGAGCTTGTGTGGGATAGGGGCATGGAAGGATTTGCTGAGCCACCACACTGACTCAAAAGGAAGCTGTTCATGCCATCAGCATCTCCATCCCTGATCTTGACATAGCTGTACCTGCAGCCTTTCCCACCAGATCTGGCGGATGATCTCACGGCGCTCTGGTACAAGTTTGTACTGGATAACCTCTTCCAGCTCTGACAGCATCTGGCAGGACACCATAGCCTGGAGGAAACAATCACATTCCATCCCAATCACTACAGAACAAATCTATGATTAAGGAACAGTGTTTTGGCATCAAAATCTTAAGTACATTTGTTGCCTAACAGGTAAAGGACTGAATGCTATACATTGGTATAGATGATCTACTGGTTCAAACATCCCTAAATGTCAGTTCTTATTTCTTTCGAGGGGGTGGAGCTCACTTCACTGTTTAGTGTGGCCCAAAGCTGCTCCTGCAAAGCTGTATTTCTTACCTGACAAAAGCCATTTAGCTTGTGGGCCTGTATAGGTCTTGTGTTTGATACAGTCACTACTCAGAAGTTTCACACAACTTTTAGAGACAGAGTGAAGCAGCAATAAGGGCAATGAAGGCTGAGAGCAACACTTACCCCATAAGCTCTACTGTAGCTCTCTCCTGCCATGGCAGTCAGCTCAGCATCTAGCAGGTCTCTGGCTTTGTCAATGCACTGAAACAGAATGAGATTGGGGCAAAGGGGATGTGTTTTATCTACAGTCAACTGTTGAAACTGTCATTCAACCATTCCACCCCATGGTCAAAGCTGGAGTTGTTCCCACTCTCCAACAAGAACCTGGAAAGGATCTTATCAATACAAAGAATTGACAGGAAAACAGTGTCCAGGGAAGGTACTGGGGAAGCCAAAGGGGCTTTGCTCATCACCTGCACAGTTTGAAGTTTGTCTTCCTACCAGATCTTGCAGTATTTCTAACCCTACTGTCATTGCGGAAATCA